CTTATATGTTTCCGTTTGTTTGATTTTGGTAAAATCGACTACGTTTACGTTCTTTCCCTGTCTTGTTATTATCATATATTCGGTCTTATCTTGATCGATAACTAGTCCCATTTTGTGAGCTGCTTTTTTTTAAAAAAGTATGTTTTTACAGTCTCTAGTTCATTTTCTTCAGCGATATCAGTGTCATTTGCATAACCAAGTATTCTTGTAGTATTCTTGTAGTAACTGTCTGATTTTATGTCCTGCCTTGCCCTTGAGTGTTGAGCGTCGGTAAGATCACCTGGTAACTCCTCAGACCGTATTGATCAATTTGCGCTTCCGCGCTGTTCACGTACTCCCAAAGGGCCCTCACAGCATCTAGATTGCCATACATCAGTTCACCGGCCAGTCTATCTACACGCTAATTTTTCAACACACTGGCATGACCAGTAGAGAATATATCTTATAGCTTGTAAATAATAATGATAATCCTCTAAAATTTTCACATTTATACTTGTCTCCGTTTTTAAAAATTGGTACTAATAATGAGACTTTCCATTCACGGGGTTATTTCTCCGTCTTCCAAACAATTTTATTAATTCATATATCTTTACATGTAATGCATGACCACCTTCTTTTAGTTCAGCAGCCATTCCAACAGCAGCAATTGTTTATTGTTTTTAAGCCGTATTATGACGTACAGTACTTCTTTAAAAGCAAGTTCTTCAGTATTTGGTTCACATGTTAGTATCGCTTCCTGTGGATAAGTAATTAATAGAGTTTCACAATTTAACAATTCGAGAAAATATTTCTTTCATTCGTTACAAATTTCTTCATGATTATTTGTTTCGTTTGTGATCTTTTTAACTATATATGTTGTGTTGATGCATTTGTTTTACAGCCTCAGTTCTTGAAAAAAAAAAAAGAATGTAAAACTTACTGGATTCTTTGTTCTGATGGTTTTCTTCCATATCCATGACAATGTTGTTCATGTATTCTAGCTTTTGCAGCTTCTCTACATTCTATATTTTTCTTCATTTTATATGTTACTAGCTGTACCCGGCCACGCATTGCTGTGGCCCAGAATGGTGAAATATAGAGGAAAGAAAATAGCTCTCAGCTAACAGTGTCTGTCTAACACCCCCCCCCCCCATAACCCCTCCTCTCCCCTCGACGCAGTCATATCTCCCTCTCTGAAGGATTGTAAAATCATCGATGGCGAAATTATTAAAATAGAAATAGTTGAGAAATAATAACTTTAAAATAATATTTTAAGCTCTCTCAGTTAACTGTGTTTGGCATAAACCCCCCCCCCCCCCCCCCCCCCCTTCACCAATCATATTTCCCTCTCCGTAGGATTGAAAAATCATCACCTGGCGGAATTATTAAAATAGAAATAGTTAAGAAATAAGAACATTAAAATAATATTTTAAGATCTCTCAGCTAACGGTGTCTGGCATAAATCCCCCCCCCCCCCCGCTCCAATCATATCTGCCTCTCCCAAAGATTGAAAAATCATCACCTGGCGAAGTCATATCTCCCTCTCCGAAGGACTGAAAAATCATCAGTGGCGAAATGTTTAAAATAGAAATAGTTAAGAAATGAGAACTTTAAAATAATATTCTAAGCTCTCTCAGCTAACTGTGTCTGGCATACCCCCCCCCCCCCCCCCCCCACCTTTTTCCCCCCCTTTTCCCCCTAATCATATCATCTTCTCCGAAGGTTAGGAAAGTCACCGTGTAACGAAATATTGTAACTAAATTGAGCTTTGCATCCGTGTCCACCCAGACTTAAATAGGTAGCATTAACTTGTACAGAGAAGTAAATGTAGCCAGTGTAGCAGCTACCACATCACCCATCCAATACCCGTACTAATGCAACTACAACCACCACCACCATCACAACAACAGCAACAACAACAAAAACTGTGTAGGTCGGTGTAGAAAAGAGAAGTTAGCGCCGCATGCTGTCTCCACAGTCTGTTTAGTTTGATTTTGCCCCAGACATAGGAAAAAAAAAACAAAATTTAATCACGTAACCAGTTATGGAACCCACGAATAGCGGAGAAAAATACCCCGCACCCGTCATCATCTCTCCCTCTCCGAGAGAACGATTTTTAACTGACCTTGGCAAATATGTCTACCCAAACTAAACTGGACTGTAAGCCGTCTTAGGTAACAGTTTCTGACATTGCCGTATAGTTTTTGATCGAGAAGCATGGCGGGGAGGCTTATTAGGACCTAACTGAAATCAGATGTCTTTGGGCGAAAGGCGCAGATATCGCATCATAGCTGTAAACCACAACACAACGTGGCAACCACCCTTTTAAGGGAAAAAGAACAATTGTCACCCAGTGGGGAATCGAAAAACGATCAACCGTGTGAAGGATGACATACTTACAACTATACTACCGACGACTGAAGAGTTTAGGTCAGCTATCGCAGCCTAGCTGTAAACCACAACACATCTGCCGACGGCCCTCTCGAGGGCGAACGAAGATTACCCATCACATGACCATTGAGCATCTTGTCGCCGCTGTTGCAGGCTAGCTGTAAACCCCAAAACTGACAAAGTCGTAGATATCGCAGCCTTGCCATAAACCATAACACAACGTGCCAGCTGCCCAGTTAAGGGAAAAAAAAAACATTATATGAACTAGCGGGGAATCGAACACGGGTCACCTGCATGATAGGCAGAGTAGCTATCAACTACGCTACCAAACACAGATAATAGCGGAAATGAAATTATATAATAATAAAAATTTCAATAAGAGCTCAGCAGTCAACTCCGGTTAAAATGGACGAAAGACAGCGGCGCTGTTCGGAGCAGAGGCAAATTTTTTGCTTCTGCCGGACGGTGGCCGATGCATTTTTGCTCCATTTGTAGACTGGATATAGTTTCGTCGCCCAGCTTCTGAGTTGAATGCACGGCGTGACCCTGTGAGCTGTGGATTGCATTTGGAATGTTTTTTCGACTGTGACCAACGTGGTGTGAATTGTAGATTCAGAAAATGGCGCGATGCCTGTCGTGCAATGCTGGCGGGGCCCGTATTAAAATTGATCGATCGGGCAACTGCTGATCTGTTGGCGACAAGTTCTGCTATCATCTATGATGAACTGCATTTCTAATGTTAGACTGTTTGTGTTAGCACTTCGGATGGCTACCATATGCTTTAATGCGAGTGTATGCTAGATATGCTGAGACAGCAGTCTGAAATCTTTCCACAAAGGACTGTGATAGACATTCTGGGTGTTTTTCGCTGGCACAGGAGCGGAGCAAAGATGGGGCGACCCGTTTGCTATGAAGCTGAAACTAAGACTACCAGACTACCAGACTACCAGTCAAATATGGCCGATCACATAAAAACAAATCCGGGCCGGTAACGAAACAAATAATGATTTGACCGTTGCTGTAGCTACGTCGTTCGTGGTTTGTGCGATTTTCTGACAAAAAAATCACGCTTGGAGTCGAATGCAACTTTGTGTGCAAATTTGAAAGCAATCTGTTCAGTTGTTTCTGAGTTTAGGGATTACAACATCGGAAAATTAGGATTTTTATTAATATAGAAGACTGTATAATTTAGCCACATCTGCCTGGCATGTTTTTGCTTACTGACAGCTTCTTCGCATGTTTTATCGAACCATTTGTTTTTTTCTGTTTGTGGTGGACACACCAATACATTCTTCTGCAGTGGTTTGAATTATATTCTTAATATCCATCCAGGTTTGGTCATCATCTTTCTCTGACGAATTAAAAAAAAATTTCAGTATTATATTTTAATTCATTTGCAAATTTCTCGTATATAGATGTAACCTTTCTCTATTATACTTTGGATGTGAACTTTATAACTTGGTGAAGAAGGATCTCTTGAGCTTGATTTTAAATTTTGCACCAACCAGGTAGTGACACTTTGACTCTCAGCTCCTCTGTAGCTTCTACTCTGTTGTATGTTCAATGCATTTCTATTATTTATTAAAATTTGATCTATTTGATAAGTTGTCTAGTCACATGATTGACAGGTTTGTTCATGTATATATTTTCTTTGAAATCTGGTGCTGCTTATCTGTAGTCTTTTGGCTACTGCATGGTTAATTAGTCTCCATCCATTATTGTTTGAAATTGTATGTAGTCTTTACATGCCTGCTACGTTTTTATGGGTGTTTTCTCTTCATATTTTTGCATTGAAATCTCCTAAAACAATCAGTATGTCCCGTTTTTGTTTCCTCGGTGATCTCGAAGAAGATCATAGAAGGCCATTCCCCTAGTTTCATAACCTTCACGAGCCAAAATTGATTGAGACTGCGGACGCTGTTATGAGTAGGGAAGTCTAACCACTATAGACCTCTCTTATTTCTGCATATCGCCACATCCATTCTGTATTCTGATAACTCACAGGGCATTCTTCAACTGCTCAAGCTCTATAAAGGATGCGTACATTCCATTTCTGTTTAAATCTATCTGAAATCGAAGCTTAGATGTCTGTTTTGTGACAAAATGAGTTTTACAAAGGTGTGAGTGTCGGCCTCACTCTTCAACACCCAACCTGGAGCACCAGGGTGTCTGTCTGTTGTATAATCTTCAACCTTTCCGTCTTGGGAGGCCCTGCTGGCAGCTACGTTACTGCCGGTATAGCTCTCAGGGTCATTGAGAAACACAAGCTCTCTCCCCGCGGTAAGGCGGAGACACCTTCAGGGAATATATATAATGGTTGTGTGTGCATGTATGTACATGTGTATGTAATTATGTTATAGTTTAAATTACGGCCACATTTTCACAACTGGTGCACTGAATACCCAACGGAGTTGAATCAGAGTAGACTAAGAGATAGGCCAAGAAGACAGGAAATCAGGTCTTTTTTGCGGAAAGGGTGGGGGGGGGGGGGAAGAGACATATGTTGTTATTTTGAATATACATATGCTGTAACCACAATCTATTCCAAGATTGAAGATTACAATAAATGTACTGAAATGACAACTATATTTCCTAACACCATATTCTGTGAGTGTACGTTTTTCTCATAGGTTTGTCTGTTCAAGAAGCTGCCAAACTGTGCAATTATATGCATTTTCGAGAAGCAAAAAGGCTGAATCTAAGAATTCTTCTTCAGCGTGCAAACATGGATAGAGCCATTGATTTTATGGATAGCATTGAGGATGATGTTCCTCGTGGTAAATTATTTATTGGCATTTTGCAGATGATAATATGGAGAGAGAAAAAAAATGTGAATATGTGCCATTGCAATTTTATATACCAAAGTTAGTTGCCTATTCTTTACAGGACCTTGCAGAACCAACCCCATCATTTTTTTTTTTTTTTTTTGATTGTGGGTTTTCTAGGAGCATTTTACGTTCAGGGGTTTTTGCCACTGAACGGTCAGCTCTCGGTATCACTGTCGAAACCAACGCAAAGACAAATAGCCGCTTCTGGAATCGAATCCACAGACGCCGACTTTTAATTACAAGGCAGCTTCAAATGAAAACTTGAAATTTTTGTTTGTTTGTATGTAAATATGTTCTAAAAAGGTAAAGAACAAATGTATCATTTTCCAATTTTGTCACTACTGTGTTCATGCAAGCCCTTCAGTACAAATAAAGTATTTTGATTCCTGTAGAAACAAGAAAACTGTCTTGGTCGCGTACGTTACCAAGCATGCATCCAGTGGCATAGGATGGGGTGCGGTCGCCCCAGGTGTCATCATTACTGAGGAGGTGACAAAATAGCAAAAATATGTGTTTTTAATAAAAATGACAGGAAATGTTCAAAACCGGATACTATATTTTCTTTCCATACCACTGCATGCACCACTGACTGTTCATCTTCGTCGGACCGAAGAGTCTCCTCCCAGCGACTATTTGAATAGTGCAAACAGATGGAAATGACTTGTAATCTTGGTAATCTTAGTTTCAGCTTCATAGAAAACTAGTCACCCCTTAGTTGTTCCGTTCCTGTGCCCACGAAAAACACACAGCATATCCACCAAGGTCCCATGTGAAAAAATTGACACAGACTGCAGTCTCAGCATAGCAACTAGCATACAAATGCATCAAAAAAGCATAACGTGACCATCAGAAGTGCTAAACAAACAGTCCGACCTTAGAATTGCAGTTCATCGTCGACGGAAGCAGCAGTTACACACAGACCAGCAGTTACACACAGACCAGCAGTTACACACAGACCAGCAGTTACACACAGACCAGCAGTTACACACAGACCAGCAGTTACACACAGACCAGCAGTTACACACAGACCAGCAGTTGCACACGCGATCAAATGACTTGTGCTTTGGCTATGTCTGGCGAATACGTGGATGTTTTACACACTGAAAGTTGAGTTTTAGATGGTTTCAATCATTGCGTTGGCAGTATGTGGTCAAACATTGTCATGCTGCATACGGACACCTTTACACAGAAATCCAAAAGAAAATTAGTCAAATACTACATCATCCAAGAACTCATTTGAGCAGACGGAAAAAGAATTTGCGATTTATTAGACTAAAAAAAACACTATAATCTCGTACAATCTTTTATCAACACAGAGCAACCAAGGACAGACATGTACAATGACATGGAAAAAAAAAATTACAACATCTGAGGAATGATCTTAGAGAATGTATGAATTGTCCTGTTGTGCCATCATATGTCATATAGGGCTGGCAGTCTATTCCTCCATTCCGTTCTATCCTGTGCAATCAATTCATGGATAGTATCCAGTCTGATACCTTTGTCCTCTCGTTAACGTTCACCTTAGGGTTTTTTATTGGCCTCCTCACCACCTCAGTTTCCCATTTTCGGGCCTGTCTATTGATTGTCTGCTCATTTCTTTTCAGGATGTGTCAAGTATAGTGCCTTCTCTGTTTTATAACCGTTAATATTAGTGTTTGCACAGACATTTCTCTTATTTCTTTACCTCTTTTGAATTCATCCCATTTTATGTTCAGAATTGTCCCTGGATTCCGAAGAATAGCATTCCCTGTGTGGCTTCTAGGACCTCATTTTGGGAGAAAATAATAGACCCCTGCCTCCCTAAAAAGCTCGTCGTAAAGGGTGAGTAATTAAGAATTTTCCATCCAAAGTCAGAGCACATCTACCCGAAAGGCGAGGAACCAACTCAAATTATCAAGGAAAGGAGAAAAAGAAGTTTTGTAAACAGAAAAATAGAAGTCTTAGCAACACCATATTTTGTTAGAAAACAACAATGGAAATAGATCAGTATTCTAACTCAGCTGCCAGCAGGCAGTAGACCACAATGAGCAATTTATGAACAAGTAGAAATGGAAAAAAAAATGACCATTTACACACACACACACACACACACACACACAATCGCAGCTGAAGAGGTGGGATGAGAAGCTACTTGTCCAGCATTTATTTTGATTTTTAAAACTTTTCAGTAATTGTAGTGGTCATAATATGGCATCATTATTTTGTGAATATATTTACAGGTTCTTGGAATATACAGTTCGAGCGAGGAAGTGGCTTGCTTATCATGCGTAGTCTTCAGTGGCCAGGATACGTATTTTACCATGTTCCTGCAACCAGAAAATATGGATCTGTCTACTTTGGAACAGGAGAAAAAAATATGGATTTGCCATTCATGCTGTAGAGAAATATCTGCTCATTTTTGTTCAAAATATAAATCAACCAAAAATTTTAATTAAACATGTTTTAGTAATATTCTACAAATTGTTTATTCTTTTAAGAATTCATTGAAACCTTGGTTCTCGAGCTTAATTTTTTTTTCAAAAGTTGTTAGAAAACAGTTGTTCGAAACAAAAGCAGTTCTCCCTATAAGAATTAATGTTTAATTGATTAATTTGTTTATTAACTCCAAATGTTGCGTATATGTTTACAACAACTTTGTAATACTTTTACAAATACTGGCCACATACAATTGTACTGATAAACAACACAATAATATTTAATCTTATTACCCCACCCACCTCCAACCTCACTCCCCACAAATGGCCACAATGACTAGATAAAACATCGACAAAGATTTATCTTGTTATACCTGTACGAAATAAAGTTGTCACATGTAAAATTTGATGTTCTCCACTTCTTAAGTGCTCTAAGTTTTCTGTCATCATCATCATCTCTTTCCACTTATGTCGCTAAGCGTTGGGGGAGGAACAGTTTGCGATTCGTTGCTTGGTGGGCAACAATGGCTATTGTCATTCCATGTCGATAGAGAAGCTCTTTAATGTCATCAGTCCATGTTCTCCTAGGGCGGTCTCTTGCTTTTAATTCAGATTTTTTTCCTGTGTAGAGCCTACATTAGTAGTTGTTCTAGCTGCATTCTTAGATGACCAAACCATTTGATCTTCTGTTTCTCAATTAATTTGCTGCTTGATGTTGTTCCTACAGTCTAATATCATTTCTTTGTCTTGGATGGTTAGATTTTTCCAGAGTAAGCTCATCCCTGCGATCCTTCACCAACTGCTACATCTCAACACTTTTAGCTTCAAGTCGATGCTTTTGCCCAGATATATTGTTGATGATAGCAATGGACTCTGCCTCAAAGTATTATTGTTTGCTATGCAGTCTGGTCTCAGTTTTCCCCATTTCACTGAAGTTACTTACATCCATATTTTGTCAATGAGGCTAAAACAATGGAGGATGTTAAAGAAAAGGTAGTCTTCGAGAACTGAGGTTCCATTGTATGTTTCTTGTGTTTAAAAATACTGAAAGGTGTGTGTGTATTTTTTAAGCTTTTTTAGCAACTTTTATTTGTTTGTTTATTATTTCTGATTTGAAAAAAAAAAAAAAAACTGTTTCAATGTACTTATTATAAATGTGACAAAAAATATATATTTTTTACTATTTTTGAATAAATATATGAATGGAAAACTGACTTACAACAAAATAAGTGCTAGACATGCCCATAATGTTTAAATTGTGTTATTACTTTTCAAGACATGATGCACTTTCTGGAGATTGATAATTTAATACAATTAAAAATAAATTCGACCTGAAGAGCAATGCTGTTTAGTTTTGCTTGGTTCTTTATTGGCTATAAGCCTTCTCCTCATTTTTCTCCTCCTCCTCCTCCTGCTTCTCTTCCTCCTCCTCCTTCTTCTTCTTCTTCTACTTCCTCTTCTTCTCCCTCTTCTTCATCCTCCTCCTCCTCCTCCTCTTCTTCTTCTTTCTTTCTCTTCTTTCTCTTCTTACTCCTTCTCTTCTTCTTCCTCTTCTTCTCATCTTCGACCTCTTCTTCTTCTTCTTCTTCTTTTTCTTTTTCTTCTTCTTCCTCTTCTTTTTCTTCTTCTTCTTCTTCTTCTTCTTCTTCTTCTTCTTCTTCTTCTTCTTCTTCTTCTTCTTCTTCTTCTTCTTCTTCTTCTTCTTCTTCTTCTTCTTCTTCTTCTTCTTCTTCTTTCTTCTTCTTCTTCTTCTTCTTCTTCTTCTTCTTCTTCTTCTTCTTCTTCTTCTTCTTCTTCTTCTTCTTCTTCTTCTTCTTCTTCTTCTTCTCTTCTTCTTCTTCTTCTTCTTCTTCTTCTTCTTCTTCTTCTTCTTCTTCTTCTTCTTCTTCTTCTTCTTCTTCTTCTTCTTCTTCTTCTTCTTCTTCTTCTTCTTCTTCTTCTTCTTCTTCTTCTTCTTCTTCTTCTTCTTCTTCTTCTTCTTCTTTCTTCTTCTTCTTCTTCTTCTTCTTCTTTCTTCTTCTTCTTCTTCTTCTTTCTTCTTCTTCTTCTTCTTCTTCTTCTTTTTCTTCTTCTCTTCTTCTTCTTCTTCTTCTTCTTCTTCTTCTTCTTCTTCTTCTTCTTCTTCTTCTTCTTCTTCTTCTTCTTCTTCTTCTTCTTCTTCTTCTTCTTCTTCTTCTTCTTCTTCTTCTTCTTCTTCTTCTTCTTCTTCTTCTTCTTCTTCTTCTTCTTCTTCTTCTTCTTCTTCTTCTTCTTCTTCTTTCTTCTCTTCTTCTTCTTCTTCTCCTCCCTCTTCTTCTCCTCTTTGCTCCTCTTTTACTCCTCTTCTTCTTCTTTCTCCTCTTCTTCTTCCTCTTCTTACTCCTCTTCTTCTTCCTCTTCCTCCTCTTCTTCTACCTCTTCTTCTTCTTCTTCTTCTTCTTCTTCTTCTTCTTCTTCTTCTTCTTCTTCTTCTTCTTCTTCTTCTTCTTCTTCTTCTTCTTCTTTTTCCTTCTCCTTCCTCCTCTTCTTCTTTTTCTTCTTGTTCTTGTTCTTCTTTGGGTTACTGGAATTGTCGTAGCGCAAAGCAAAGAGGACCTGTACTGGAGAGACTGATTTATGACTGATATCATCATGCTGCATGAATTAAACATATATAGATATGAGTGTCCTGAATACATTAAATAATGTCCACAGATAAAACTGACTGTCACCCAAAAATAACAATAAATGATAAAGAAATTGAAAATGTAATAAACTTTAAATATCTAGGCTCTATAATAAACAACAATGGAGACTGTTCGGCAGAAATTAAAAGGAGGATGGCCATAGCAATGCAAAGATTGAACAGCCTTAAAAGTCTATGGTTATGCACCAGCAATGAGATAAAAATTAGAGTTTTGAGAGCATGCATCTTTCCTGTGGCTACATACGAATGTGAGTCGTGGACTATCTCTCAATCCTTATGAAAGAGAATAGGGGCTTTTGAGCTGAAATGCTATAGAAAGTTTCTCAGAATATCTTAGACAAAGAAGATGAGAAATATTGACATCTTAAAAGATCTGAACAGCATTCTTTCTCGAAAGCTGAAATATTTTGGTCATGTCAAGCGCCACGACGGATTGGAAAAAATTAGAGCAGAAGCTATGGTACCAGGAAGGAGGGGCAGGGGCCGACCGACACGAAGATGGGCACAGGATATAAGTGACTTCTTGAGTGTGAAAGTTCATGAGGCGGGAGAACTGGCATGAGACCGAGTTTCTTACAGGCAGACTGTAATGAGAGCGACGTTCTGCAAAGGACCTGCTACATGATGATGATGAATACATTGGTTAACATAAATCCTACAGGACAGGGGAGACATGGACAGTGTCTGCTGGTGAAAAATGCGGTGAAGCATTGACCTGTGCCAGTGGAATCATAGTACATAAGAGGTTCGGGTGTATACAGATATATAATGGGGGATCAACCTAAAAGTCAGTCAATGTTTATGCTGCTGTTGAATCTCTTGTCAGAAAGGAACATTGGGACTGGTTCAAAGAGTTGGAGGAAATCCTTAGTAATTGGCTTCTTATCTGCGCGGAACAGAGCATGGGACAGTAATGGGAGAAAATCGGCAAGGAAATGCTTCAGCGGAGGCTATGGTGGATGCAGACGTGGTCTGTATGAATGACGGTAAGCCAACTAGAATGGCAATGAGACCTGGTTATGCAGACACGGCCACTGATTTAGCGTTTGTTACCTAGTCAGCAGTGCTGGACACAAAATGGAGTGTCCTATGCGATCATGGGAGTGACCATATGCCATGCTCAGTCTTGATTTCAGAAGCTAGAAAGATCAGGGCTGTGAGAACGCGAATGACTTTTAAGTACCCTTCTTGGACGCCTTCGTCAGAAGGCTTGCAGCAGAACCACTATCTCTGCTTTTGTGCAGCCTGAAGGGTGAACTCAAGAAGTAGGACATGCATGGAGAGCAAAGCGAGCAGCAGTTAAGAAATTACCGAAAGTGCGAAAGGCACCTCGCAGGTTACAAGAGGATGTAGAGAGGATAGAAAGAGTTTAAAAATAAATATTAGAAAATTTTAGACTGTGAGATGCAAACAAATTCTAAATGGGAACATTTTATGAGCGAAATTGGAGAGGATAAATCACTGTGTAGGTTTTGGAGACTTCACAGACAGATGCAAATGAAGGATCGGCCTATCACAACAAGCATCATATAGGCTGATAATGATATACTAATGACAACAGACAAAGAGAAAGGGGAAGCATTTTTGAATAGATTTATAACCCAAACTGATTATAATGATAGGGAGTTTAGAAATTCAGTTAGAAATAATCTGTATAATACAATAAATGATAATTTTTTTAGGACATTATTAGGGTGGAGGATATAAAACATACATAGGAAAAAGCAAAGGACACTGCGCTGGGGCCAGACGGAGTCATGTATGCTCACACGAAGATCATGAGTGATGAAGACTTGAAAGAGATGGCTTTTTACTTCAACCAGAGCATCAAAACAGCTTCAGTACCCCAGGAATGGGTACACGGCTACCTAATTTCACTTCCAAAACCAGGCAAAAATCATTACAAAATCAGCGGTTTCAGGATTATCACCCTACAAAAAACTTTTGGTAAGGTGCTAGAGAAGATTATTGCTGATAAATTACAAATGTTTTTGGAAATGAAAGAGCCAAAAGGTTTAGGTAGTTACCGGCCACGGAAACCTGGTCCAATGCAGCTACTTTTCCTTTTGATGTTTATGAGGGGTTCCAGAGCACCCAGGAGACGGTTGTAGCAGCAATGGATATTGAGGATGTCTCCAATAGAGTCAAAAATGATATCTTGATTTCTGCGCTCATGAAGAAGAGGTTTTGTCTGTCGTTTGTGAACTGTGGGCCGCTGTCCTTTATTCACGTATGTTTGCCCTTCGCCTTTGTACATGGACCTCAGAACCATGAAATATCGCCCCGGGACTACCCCAGGGT